GCTGACCGGAGGCTGACTGTCCTTTGGGTTGGGGGTCAACCTCTCCCAGACCAACGCTAGGGCGGGCTTTCTCCCTGCCCCCATCCGGGGAGGGGGATGCCCCCCACCTTCCCACACCCCCAAAGACTCACCTCTAGTCCACACTCCTTTCTCAAACGAGGTGGGAAATAATGCACCCTCCCCCTTCATTTTTTTTGGCCAGGCGAAGACTTTGCTGGATTAATAAGGAGGGATAGGCAGATTGAATTCTCACGTGAAAAGGAGGTGAGTCAGACCATTGGTGCTTTGATGCAAAGGAGATAGGGCCAGTGTGTGTGTGTGTGTGTGTGTGTGTGTGTGTTGCATCACAGGAACACCCTTCATTTGCAAAGGTCATTCCTTACTCACTTAGGTAAAAACTGATAATAAATAAGTCCAGTCTTCTAAACAGTCGAGGATTCTCTCATGAACAACTGGGGAAAGGAGGACAGAGAAGGGAAAGGAAACCTCCCCACAACACCATTAACCTGCTTGCTGGAGTGTCAATCAAATCCACTCAGCTGAGCTGGTTCTGCAAACCAGGCCCAGCCTTTTGGGTTCGTAACTGACCCGTGAAGGGGTTGTGTGAATGCAGCAACTGAATCTTCAAGTCCATCTGTGATCCAGTATTTTAAGAAGACAAGAAACAGTGACCTGTTTGGAAGAAGGAAGGAAGGAAGGAAGGAAGGAAGGAAGGAAGGAAGGAAGGAAGGAAGGAAGGAAGGAAGGAAGGAAGGAAAGAGTTAGAGAAACGCAGGCAGGGGAAGAAAGGGGAAAAATGAGAGGAAGGGAGGGATGGAGGGAGGGAGGCCCTTTGGCCCTGTTATAATAGGGCATTCAGAACGATGTCTGTTAGATTAATCTTTATTTACTGGTGTTTGATCCTTCAAGCTGTTTGATCTCTGCTTCAGCAACAGGAATCAAAACGGCTCCCATTTTATGGGGAATTAGCTCTGCAGCCTGCACCAGGCATGGTGTGTGTGTGTGTGTGTGAGAGAGAGAGAGACAGAGGGAGAGAGAGACAGAGAGACAGAGAGAGAGAGAGACAGAGAGAGAGAGAGACAGAGAGAGAGAGAGACAGAGAGAGAGAGAGAGACAGAGAGACACAGAGAGAGAGACAGACAGAGAGAGGCGATGGGAGGGAGTTTGTTAGTCTGCAAAACTGACCCCAGATGGCTCCCATTTCTTCTCAAAGAGAAATAGTTCTTGACTGTCCATGGTTTTCAGGTGGGCTTTTCCAGGACCTGGAGGTTGAAGCCTCTCTCGTTCTCTTGACTAACACCCTGGTCAGTTTCAAGGTGTCAGCAGGTCATTCCTGCCTCTGCCACCCTATTCCTTCAACCCCACCTCTCCATCCTTCCCGAGAGGGGAGCCTATATCAGCCTTCAAGCCTTTCTTTGCTGCCTTCTCCTGGGTGCCAAGAATCTTGCACCCGAAGCTGCTTGCTCTCCCCTCCATAAGGAAGAAGGGGGCTGCCGTTTTATAAGGAGGGCAGGAAAGGTGGCAGGAAAGGCATTTGCCAGGAACATCTGGGATGCCGGATCTCTTGGGCCAGCCTCAGCCCAGCACGATTCTTTGGTTGCAGTCTGGTGGATCTGCCCAGGTCACGCTTCTGACTAAGGGTGGATATTAACACAGCAGAGTGGATTGAAACAGAACATTAAAACGATGAAGAATAAACTTAGTTCTCTTCCTTGCTATTTTCTCTTTCCTGTTTCTTTCCCTTCCTTTCGTCTGTCTTCCATCTTTCCCTCCTCTGCTCTCTCTCTCTCTTTCCCTCCCCAATACTCCTTCCTTCCTTTCTCCCTTCCTTCTTCTTCCCTCCCTTCCTCCACCTTCTCTCCCTTCCTTTCTTCCATTTTCCCTCCCTCCC